CCCCAAAACCCCAAAACCCCAAAACCCCAAAACCCCAATGAGTTAAATAGAGTTTTGATCAATAAATTATAAAAATTGATTAAAATATACAAACAATATAACACAAGGAATCCAAAGCAATGTAAACAGCAACGGCAGTAGAAATATCTAAATGTAAATAATGCGCGTGTGGTAGTAAATTAGCAGCTCAATACGTTTGTTTGTTACCAGAAAAATGCAATAATCAATTTCTTTACTGCGATGATGAAAATTGTTCTAGCAAGCATGATCACAGAATGGCAAAGATTACGAGCGTGATGCAACACCTGAAAAATCAAGTGGGTGAATTCAGAGAAAAAGTTAGCACATTGAAATCTAACTTATCAGATCTATTCCCAACTTTTGAAAAGCTGGTTAAGTTCTACACTGCATCACAAAAGGCATTGTCACAGAAAAACAGTCCATAAGATGGTAAAAAATACAGATACTTGGACGAATTAGTTGCTAAGATTGACAAGTTATACAATGAGGTAGATTCATATAGTTTATCTCTTGACGAGTTGCAAATTGAATACAAGTTAGAAGAAATGATTAAGACAGTAGATGTGTAAGGTGAAAGACTGAAAGAAGAATTTACAGAAGTTGCTACTCTTGCCAAAATGGATGAGGAATTGCTCTGGAATATTTACGAAGAAGCCATTTCAACAGACTACGTAAATTAGGAATTAATGGACAAATTCTCACCTTCCAATTGGAACACCTATCATGGTCTCTAGATTAAAGCATTGAAGTCCAAGTTGGACAAGAAGGAAGCAGAGTTCTAAGCATTCAAGACGCTGGTAGAATAAAAGCTCTAAATTTGACAATCTGCTGAAATGAATCAAAATAAAAAATGATCAAATTGAATTGGTCAAATATTTATATTATTTATCTATCAGTAGTTTATTTGCTTAAATTAATATTTACTTATTCGATACTTTCAATGGCTTTGCTGGGGTTTTGGGGTTTTGGGGTTTTGGGG